TTAAGCACTATGGTTTGTGGGATATAATTTTTACCTATTATACTTATAACCATTAACAATCTCAAATATATAGAATTTGATTTAACCTTATGCGAAAGAAACCGCTTAATCCCAAGAACGTTCATATCGAATAATCGAGAATTCAAACTGAATAGCGAAAGTGTGCCTAATTAATTCATCTTAATTGATTGCCTTTGAATTCAATTTTTGAATTTGAAGATCTTACAAAAGACCATAAAACTGTTTCTCTTCTTCTTACGCACCAAAGAAAGAAACGAATGGAGAGATAATGGGGCCAAACGGTTTTCTTCTTATATTTTAATGAGGAATTTCAAGGGTTCATTTGTATTAATCACGGCTTTTGAGGACTCCACCCATTAATAATTTTGACTCAAATTATTTGCTAATTAAGTCAATTAAATTTAATATTATTATTTGTTGCGTTATAAAAAATAATAATATTACCGGGTGTCCCTATTTAATCATTCAATAATTTAAATTAAGTTCATTAACCAATATTTCTATACAACTAGTATTCGATCCTGTACACATGCACATAGAAAACAAAAATTTATATATTATATGTACGAATATGATATTTAAAACTTTAAGTTAGATAAAATGTGTATTATATTTTAAAATTTTGACTATATGTAAATGTATAATATAAATATAAATTATTTAACTTCCATATAAGTTAGTTTTTTTTTTGTATAACTATAATACTGTATATTTAGACAATTGGCTGGAAAATAATTTAATATTGTATATTTAGATATTTTAAAATCTTGTAGAGCTATTACATAATAAAAAAAAATAATAAATAATAAGGTCTTGTTAGTCATAAAGATTTTTATTAAATGAAGTCCTACTTTTATTAATTGCTGGTTGAATAAAATTTCTTGAAACTTGCCAGCAATTATATATACTAGTATTTGATCATGTGCACATGCACAAATATTTAAATTATTATAACTTATAAGTTACGTAATGTGTATAATTATATAATTATAAGTTAACTAATAGTATCACATTTTAAAATTTTTGTCATTAGTAAAAACGATCATAATAAAATTATTCAAATTCATCGCTATATTTATTATATAAAATAAAATATTTAATTATTTTTCATTAAATTCAACTATTATAGTGTACAATCTTGAATGAAAAAATTGAATTTGAATGAGCTGGTGTAAAGATCTCTATTACAAAAGATGATTTGTCTTATAATATCTATAGCATATCAATACTTAGTATTTCTTTTGCATGTTAATAATCAACATACAAATTAAAAATATATTTTTAACCATTCTAATTTAATAGTTTAAACATTATCTCGTAACCATGCAACAATTACAGTCTCTAGAAATAGAGAAATAAAAATAGTAATCGCATGCAACAATTACAAACCCAAAATATAGTAAAAATTAGGTGGATGATTGTATGGAATAAATTAAAAGAAAATAAAAATATGTTGTAACGGTTTTTTGATGGAGGTCATAAAAATTTTTGTTACATGAACTCCAATTTTTATTAATTGTTGCTAAAATAAAATTAAATGAAGTTTGCTAGCAATTATATATATACTAGTATTCGATCATATACATATTCACAGATGAAAATAAAATTTTAAATGTTATGTGTGTGTATATATTTAAAATCATAAGTTAGATATGTTAGTGTTATATACTGAAACTTTGGCTTTGCATGTTATTACACTTTTGCCCTTTATGAATGAGAATCATGTTAGATTAAACAAGTTATAAGTTATGTTGTTATGCACTTAGATAGAGTGGGTCGTCATCGGGCAAACCAAAGATCATTCTATCAGTTACTTACAAAACAATAATAGCGGTTCACAACCTAGATGGACATGAACACCCCATCCGAACGATTGAAGTGTCAACTGTACAGTTTGTCTTGACTGATTAGTTGCACTAGTACATCTATACTTATATAATAAGAATTAACATTTATCCAAAATAGTAGGTCAAATATGGTCAATGTTGGATTTGCATTAAATATTTTCCAAAACCGGTAAGTTTTTGTCCTTTTCACACTTCTCATTAATTATGTTATTTTCACACTTCTCATTAATTATGTTCTTTTCGCACTTCTCATTAATTATGTCTTTTTCACACATCTAATTAATTAATTAATTACGACATAATTATCATAAATCATTCCATCTGAGCTTTTATCGTTAAAATGTATAGCGATCTGTTATGACCTTATCCCATTGATATTTCCATGAAGCGTCCTTATCGCGTTCTATTTTTTGGTAACCACTCTGTATCAATAACTGAATATTTGGTTAATGATAGCACACGTCTTTATTTCAAGGAGCGGATATTCTTTGACCTTTAATTAATCTGAACAGATTGCCTTGACTTTTCAATTTTTAAAAACTCTTTTTTTAAATATTTCGGCTTAAGATTCGGATTTCATTATACAAGTCATCGGATTGTTTGAATGAAAATGAATGAAAAGAACACCAAAAACAGGTAACTTTATTCATATAACCAATCCTAAAATATTAGTTTGTTCACCAAAAAGAGACAAATCCTATAATCCTAAAATATTAGTTTGTTCACCAATCCTAAAATATTAGTTTGTTCACCAAAATTATTAGTTTGATTTTTAGGATTTGTCTCTTTTGAAAATATTAGCTTGTGATAATGAGGAGTTACTAAATAATCAAATTCATAATGTTGTGTACAAGAAGATTTTTAATAATATATGATTGTTACCGAACTTTTTATGATTAAACAATGTTCCTATGTATTTTAATGATTTCAATTTCGATCCTAATGCATGTGAAGTTATATTATTCTTCCAAATTTTACATCACGTGCATCGCACGGGTTACGTACTAGTTAATGTATTGAGCAGGATCTCAGATATGAGAAGTTCGTTTTGTACTGATCGTCGTAAACGAACTAGGCCTCGGTTAATTATTGCGTTCTCTTAACCCGTAAGATATCAAACAGGCGTATATATGTAGTACATATTACTTTGATTCACTTGGGTGAGGTTCAGTTCGCTGGATTAATATTCCTACTGTTTTGGGTAATATTACTATATATAGTATGTGCTGTTAGGATATTTACGGTCACCATGTGCGTTAGTTTGATGATGTCCCCGGAGTGAGTTCATGAAGGATTGTTATGTTAAACCCTGCAGGTGGATTAAGTTCCGGCATGATAAGAATGTGATGAACGAGCGGTAACTTCGGTAAAATAATAATAAAATAATTAATTTTTGATTGTCAATAATCGAATTAATTAATGAACATTATATCTTAAACGTGGGGAGGTAAATCGAGTAATTATAATTGGAGTCTCAAATGTAATTTGGGCTAGGAAAAGGGAATTCAATAATATTTATGTTGGTGGCCCATAATATTATTTAATTAATTAAAGGAGTGAGTTTGACCCACAGTTAGTATAATTAACTAAGGAGCCCTATACCTAATCTCCCAAGGGTCCATATTGTAGCTCTGTATATACATCATTAAGCTCATGAGAAGAGAACCAATCCCTCATAATTCGAGATACACGCCGCCCCCATACTCTCTCTCTCAGTTCTCATTCGACATTTGTCCCCTTCTTGTTGCTCCACTGATACAAGTTGAAGAATGGTGTTTGAGTAATGCAATAGAAGATCCATAGGTAATCGAAACTCGATAATCTTCTACAGAAGAAGTTGACGATCTTGTACAAGTTGAAGAAGGGTGTTTGAGTAATACAATAGAAGATCCATAGGTAATCTAAACCCGATAATCTTCTACAGAAGTCGACGATCCATGAACTGAAGCCGAGGACCGCCGACCCCATCCCTGCCGACGACCACCACGAGCTGCCGGAAATCCGCCGCGACCCGGCCACCTGCGCAACACGATCGGCGAAGCGACTCGACCAACGCCACACGATCGCCGAGGAGACGCGACGCGCACGACCCGACGATTCCCCACACGACCCGATCGCGATCAACACGAGCCCGAGATGTTCCGTTCGTGATTCAGTTCCGTTCGTGTGTTCATCTCAGTCATCCTGAAGATCAGCCAGATCGCCATTAAATTTAAACTGTAAGTTCTCTAGGTCAAACCTTTAGATCCACTGCGCATAGGTTTACGTTTGCTATTTAATACGTGATTTGTACATAACGAGATCCTCACAAATCCCAACAAGATAATGAACATATCACGTTTTATAAATTTATTATTAGTAAAAATGAATATAAACTATTAACTTACATATTAATTTTTATATCGGTTGCAATAATATAATTTTTGCAAACTTTGTTGATTATGAGCAATTAATTAGTTAAAATAATATTAATTATTATTATAGCGTTGTGTACAAAATTTTAAAAGGTTTGGTTACATCATAAAAAATAATTAACTAATGTTAAGAAAAAGACTTGCTTAATGAGTAAAAAAAATAAAAATTTTAAATAAATAGTTTGAGAAGAAGTTTTAGATTAGAATATCATTTAATGTGACTTTATGGTTTATTAGTAGTACGTGTTATATAATAAAATAAAAAAACTATAAATATTAATTAATGCAAAAGTAACAAAAAATGGAGGAAACTTAAAGAGTTTTATTAAATTTGTTGCTAGCAATTATATATATATATATATATATATATATATATAT